TACAGTGGTCAGGATGATATAACCATTGCTTAAAACTCTGCATCTAGTATTTTTATTTTTTCCATTTCATTTAATTCTTTTTATGGGGATTTCTCTTGTTATTTCATCTGGGGCCTATTTTTTTTAGTATATTTTATTGATTATGCTATTATAGTTGTCCCATTTCCCCCCCTTCACTCCCCTCCACTCTGCACACCCCTGCCCACCCACATTCCCCCCTTTAGTTCATGTCCATGTGTCATAAGTCCTTTGGCTTCTACATTTCCCATAGTATTCTTACCCTCCCCCTGTCTATTTTCTACCTACCATCTATGCTACTTATTTTCTGCACCTTTTCCTCCTTTCTTCCCCTCCCACTCCCCTGTTGATAACCCTCCATGTGATCTCCATTTCTGTGGTTCTGTTCCTGTTCTAGTTGTTTGCTTAGTTATTGTTTTTGTTTTAGGTGTGGTTGTTCATAATTGTGAGTTTCCTGTCATTTTACTATACATGTTTTTTATCTTCTTTTTCTTAGATAAATCCCTTTAACATTTCATAAAACAAGGGCTTGGTGATGATGAACTCCTTTAAATTGACCTTATCTGAGAAGCACTTTATCTGCCCTTCCATTCTAAATGAAAACTTTGCTGGATAGAGCAAATCTTCGACATAGGGCCTTGCCTTTCATGACTTGGAATACTTCTTTCAAGCCTCTTCTTGCCTGCAAAGTCTCTTTTGAGAAATCAGCTGACAGTCTGATGGGAACTCCTTTGTAGCTAACTGTCTTCTTTTCTCTTGCTGCTTCTAAGATTCTCTCATTTTTAGTCTTGGGTAATGTAATTATGATGTGCCTTGGTGTGTTCCTCCTTGAGTCCAACTTCTTTGGGACTCTCTGAGCTCCCTGGACTTTCTCAAGTCTATTTCCTTTGCCAGATTGGGGAAGTTCTCTATTATCTGTTCAAATAACTTTTCCACTTGTTGCTCTTCCTCTTCCCCTTCTGGTACCTCTATAATTCAGATGTTGGAATGTTTAAAGATGTCCTAGAGGTTCCTAAGCCTCTCCTCATTTTGTTGAATTCTTGTTTCTTCCTTCTTTTCTCTTTGGTTGTTTCTTTCTTCCTCCTGGTCCACACCATTGATTAGAGTCCCAGTTTCTTTCCCATCACTATTGGTTCCCTGTATGTTTTCCTTTATTTCACTTAGCATTGCCTTCATTTCTTCATCTCTTTGTGACCAAATTCAACCAATTGTGTGATCATCCTGATCACCAGTGGTTTGAACTATGCATCTGATAGGTTGGCTATCTCTTTGTCACTTAGTTGTATTTTTTCTGGAGCTTTGATCTGTTCTTTCATTTGGGCTTTTTTTTTTTTTTTGTCTTGATGTGCCTGTTACACAGTGAGGGGCAGAGCCTTAGGTGTTCACCAGGGCAGGATAACCCACACCACTGTGTTGTGACACTGTATGTGGGGAAGGGGTCAAGAGGGAACAATGGCTCTTGCTCTGCTCTCTGCCAGATTTCAGTCCCTTCCCCTCTACCCACAAGCAAAATGGGCCCTTCTGGTGCTGATTCCTGGGTGGGTTGGCTTGTGTACATTCTAGAACCCTGTGGGTTTCTCCAATGAATTCTCCTCTGAGGCTGGGAGTTTCTCCTTCAGCCTCAACCCCTACAGGTGTTTTCAATCAGAGGTTTGAGGCTTTATTTCCCTGAGCTCTGGGTTATGTGGTCTGTCTTGCTCCCCAGGTGTTCCTCCTGGTTCATCTGCTCATAAATGTTGGACCACCTTGCTGTTCCACCAGCCACCGCCTTACCCTCCCTGGTCCTTTGCTGAGAGTCCTCTTCACCCAGCAGCTCTGCCAGACAGGCAGTGTCCACCTCTCCTACAGGTCTGGATGGATGTGTCTTCTTTAACTCCTTGGTAGTCAGACTTCCATACAGTTTGATTTTCTGTCAGTTCTGGTTGTTTTTTGTTTTTAAATTGTTGTTGTCCTTCTTTTGGTTGTGGGAGGAGGCAGTGTGTCTACCTACACCTCATCTTGCCTGGAGGTGGGGCCTATTTCTTTGTCTCCCCATTCTGTCTGCCTTTTTGGTTTGTCTCTGTGTATTGGGTATATCTGCTATGACTCCCAAACTTGTTATGAGGGCTTTCTGATATAAGTACCCTATGGATCTCAGTGGTGCAGTCTTCTAGATCACCCTAGCTAGGTGCTCCAGAAATTATTCTTGGGTGGGTTATGTGCCTTCCCCTGCTGTAGTTGTCTGAAATTCTGTTGTCCAATTCATGGGGAAGGTTAACCCTCAGGCTGGCTGACTATATGAATAGACCTTATTCACCACTATGAGTCATCTGTTTCAGAGACTGCTCCTTGAGGGACAGTTATTCCCAGCAGGGTATGGTGTCTACTGGAGTCTCCCTTTGGCTGTGTCATTTATGTGACTAGTTGGGTTGAGCTCTGGTGTGGTTCAAAGCCCACCACCAGTTGTGTTGGCTTTGGGACCTCTTGGCCTGGGATCCAGTGCAGGTTGACTTCAGATGTTGTGTGTAACTGTCCTTGGGCTACCTGTCTGGAGCTATCATGCTATTCTCTGTTTGTGGCTGTGTCTTCTAGGTCTTGGTGTGTGTGGAGGGACTGGGCTGTGTACCAGGACTGGCTTCCTGAAGCTCTGAGCTTGGGGCCAATGAATAAAAGTCCAAAATTTGCATCCACCTGCTGGCTACTCCACCCCACCCCACCCTGAGGTTGCCAGGACTTCCTCCAAAGTCTTGTGAAGAAAGGCTGTATAGGGTGGGTCCAAGCTGGCCATGCCCCACTGATCCTTCCACATGGCTCAAGCTTGGTAAGGCAGGGTAACCAGGATGGTAGGATGGGGCTAGTGGTTCCGCTATTTGGGGGCAGTGTGGTCAGGCACTCAATGGGGAAAATGTGGCCCCTCCTCCAAAGACATACCACTCAGTCTCTGCTACAGTCTCCAACTCTAGTTCCCTCAGGAGGAGCACACCACAGGTTTAGGTAGGTGTTGCCACCTGTCCCTGCTGCAGGAGCAAGCTTGGCAGGAGGGGGCCATTGGGAATTGGGCAGAGATTAAGAAAGCCTTCCATTTTGGGTGCCATCACCTGGGCCACAGGGGCAGGGGGAGCTGCACTCTTCCCCTTAGTTCTGTAGTGATGCCTGGTTGAGCCCCAAATTGGAGCCTCTGAGGGAGATGCACTCCAAATGTCCCAGCTCTGAGTGGAGCCGCCTTTCTCCCATGGAACAGCATGGGGCCGGCTGGCCTTATAAAAGCAGGTCAAGGCAGTCTTCTGGTGGGAGTGGTGCTGGCCTATGAGAGGAAAGCTACCTGCACACCTGGCCCTAGCTCCATAGTTGCACTGCCAAAGACCCCAATGGAAAGCTCCAAACGGTTCACACCATAGGTCCCAGCTCTGAGCTGTGCCCCATTCACCCTGTGGAACTGAGCTCAGCAGGACTGGGCCAGGGAAATTTGGGAATGCAGATCAAGCCAGCCCTCCTTTGGGGGTGGTGCAGGCCCACCCCCAAAGGAAGTGGGTGTATGGGAGCAAGCTGCACACCTCCCATTAGCTCTGCAGCTTTACCACCAAAGACCTTGACAAGGGAGTCTTCCACTGGGGATGGTGTTTGACGAATTCGCAAGAGGGGGGAAAATTATCCCTGTTCCAAAATCACACAGTTCAATGACTATCTAAGAGTTTTCCTATAGTTTCTCCAGAAAAAGAGTGCATGCCAGGTCTATTTTGGGTGCAGCCAACAGTCCTTTCTGCTGGATTCAGGCATGGCAAGGTGGTATAGCCAGTATTTGGAGGACTGGTTTAGTGCACTCTCCCAGCTGTTGCCACAGGAATAGGAGTACTGCCTTGACCCATGTGGCTCAGTTGATTGGGCATCATCCCACAAAGCAAAAAGTCACTGGTTTGATTTTCAGTCAGGGCACATGTCTAGGTTGCAGGTTTAATCTCCCTGGTTGGGGTGCATATGAGAGGTAACCAACCAATATTTCTCATGTTTTCTCTCCCCCTCTGTCTTCCTCCCTTACTGTCTCTCTATAAACAAACAAATAAACAAACAAACAAACTGAAAAAGAAATACATTTACTTAAAAAAAAAGACAGGAGTGCCCAACCCTGGGAGATGGTGCCTGAGGGTGGTGTGGGATGCTGACACAGGACTAGGATCTCAGAAGCTGACCCTTTAGATCTCTCCAGGGTCTGCCACCCAGATTTTCTTTGTAACTTCTGTATGCCCTGAGTGACCTTTCCTCTACCAGAGCCCCAGGTGAGTACCCAAGAGTGAGTGCTTGTTTGTTGGCCCTTTAGGAGAGCACTTGGGATCTAGTAGATCATTCCTCTTTCCAGCAGACAGAGTCCCCACTGGTTTTTGCTGCCAGATGCTATGCAGAATCCTCTTCCCTGCCCTGATGCTCTGGTTTGAGGGTCCTGGCATGGGGTTAAGACCTCATGCTCCTTGGGTCTTCTGAAGCTAAGATATCCCTCTGTCTTAGCCACTGCACCTGGGTGCAGTGGCCAGCCTTCTTGCATCTCCACTCTTCTTACCAGTCTGTGTAGCTTCTTCTATAAATTCTTGGTTACAATACTCCTATTTAGTTGTCCTTCAGTTGGTCATTCAGGTTGATTGCTCTATAGTTTAGCAGTAAATCCAGTTTGGTACTGGGGTTATGTATAGCTTCCACCTACTCTGCAGCCATCTTGGATCACCCCATACATGGTTTCAAAGCCAGTGTGTTTTTCATTCTATTATAGTAATGCTAGGATGATGAGGGCAGAAAAAAATTTGAAGAGGGAAAATCTGAGCCCCACAGTAAAGGTAGAATTAGCAGGGCTTTGATTGCATTGCTTAATAGTCACTGTCACATTTAAAGGTAGAATTAACAGGGCTTTGATTGCATTGCTTAATAGTCACTGTCACATTCTGGCAAGAGAGGTGACCAAAGCTTAGTGTCAAACTGAGAATTTATTAATATATTCCCCTTTCTTATTCTTATAGGACATTAATATGCAGCTGGCTGATATAATGCAAACTGTGCAGCAGAAAATAAGACCCTACATTGTTGATGAGAATGTGTACCCTAGAAGGAAAATCTCCCTTACAGAACATAAGAAATGGAGAGTAAATTTCCTGGGGAAAATAGCTGCTCATGCTAATTCTGTTGAAATTAAAGAAAAGACACTTGTCCACATCCTGGCCTGGCTGAAAGAATGGAGTAAGTTTTCAAAAGTTAATGAAAAAGCTAGAGAACAGAATCTATAAGTAAATTCTGAAGGATTAGAGGAAGGCTAGAAAAAGAAATGACTATGGAGTTATTCAGAGAACAGCTGTCCTCTGTTTCACAAGAATAAAACAGTAAGAATATAGGACTTGCTCACTTAGTGCCAGCTATTCTGGCCTCCTTGTTTCGCTTCAGGCATGTCAGCATGTTCCTGCCCTTTGCCTTTATGTTTACTGTTACCTTGCCTGGAACATTTTCCACCAGTAGCCACATGGTTCATTCTCTGCTTGTATCTTACTTTAAAATGAGGTATTCTCTTTCCTCTGAACCAGTGGCTGGTAGTGTGTCATTTGTAGGAAAACCACAAAGTTAATGAAAGAGCTAGAGAACAGAATCTAATGAAAGGAGACTGACAAAATCTGCCTCGCAGAGAATCATCACTTTGGTTTAAATATGGGAAGTCAGCTCAGTTGGCAGGCAGTGGGGTGGGGGAGGGGAGGGATCCAAATTAAAGAGTACTGGAAAATAAATTTCTACTATCTCTTTCAGACAATTACTTTTTTTTAATTCATAAATTATAATGAATCATACTTACAGTACCTTTGTTTAAATCCAGTATCTACTCAGCAGCCTTTATATATATATATCTATATATATCTATATATATATATCTATATATATATATCAAGTGTTAAATATAGTTATTGTTAGGCATTTGAACTTCGTTTTTCTTTAATAGAAAATAACACTGCTATTAAACATCTTCAAAAATGGAAAATAAAATACGCTGTTCTCTGACCATCCCATTCCCTATCCCTTGTCCATTACTCTTCACTCTTTTTTATTTTTGTCTATATCATTTCTTACCAACTGACATACTATATTTTTTACTTATTTATTTTTAAAGATTTTATTTGTTTATTTTTTAGAGAGACAGAAAGGGAGGGAGAAAGTGAGGAAGAAAAACACTGATGTATGAGAGATACATCAATTGGTTGCCTCTCATGCACCCCCAACCCTGGACCTGGTCCGCAACCCAGGAATGTGCCCTGACTGGGAACTGAACTAGTGACTTTTTAGTCTGCAGGCCAGTGCTCAATCCACTAAGCCACACCAGCCAAGGCCTGATATACTATATAATTAATATTTTTATTTTTATTTTTTGTCTGTCTCCTTTCACTAGAATGTAAGCAGTATGAAGTCAAGGAATTTGTTTTATTTAATGTTTTATCCTCAAAATCTAGAACAGTAAATGATAGAGAAGATGTTGGTTGAATGAAAAAGTGAATAAACTCTAAGAATGCAAAAAAAAGTAATTTCATTTGATTGCAAGAAAATCTCAAGTAACAGCGGTTATAAAATAGTAGATTACTTACCAAAGGAGTTTATTGGGGTTTAGATCCCCAATATTAACACACATGTTCACATTTTAGATACCTACTTCCCTGGAGTCATGGAACTAAACTAAATAGACATCTTTTAACTTGATTCATATTTTTATGTCCAAGACTTAACTGTTTAACCTTCTATTCTAAATCTGTTCCTTTTTCATTTCCTCACAGAGAAAAGGCTCAGAATAGCAATAAGCGTGAGATACTTATATTCCCCAATACTACAACATTGAGTAGTTAGCCAGTATTACATGCCCATAGGGCTACAATTATTTATTTTTCTGCACAAAAGTAATTTTCTTACTCTCTTCAAGATGCCATTTTGTCTGAGATGACCGAATTTGACATTGATGAACACCACTACTGGATAGCACAAATGGAGCTTTTACCAGAAACATTCAAAGCAATTGAGAGCAATGTCAAGATACTGAGTCGAACTACTGCCATTTTGCTTGAAGAAAAGAATCAACAAAAGAAAAAAATAAGTAAGCCTGCTTTAAGACATTGGAAATAGATTTTACTTTTCTTTATTATTATTATTATTATTATTTTTTAATCATTGTTCAAATACAGCTTTCTCCTTTTTACTCCCAATCCAGTCCCCCCTCCCACCCTCCCCAATTTTACTTTTCTAAAAGACAGTCTTTATTGAGTTATAATTTATACACACTTAAAGTGTACAACTCATGAATTTTAGAATATTAGAATATTTTCTTCATCCCAGAAAGATCCAATTTTAGAATATTTTCTTCATCCCAGAAAGATCCCTCATGCCTATTTGTAGTTAATATTCATTCCCACCCCCCACTCCAGACAATCACTAATCTGTTTTCTGTCTCAAGTGATTTTTCCTTTTCTGGATACTTCATAAAATGGAATTATATTATATGTGGTCTTTTAGGTCTGGTTTCTTTCATTTTGCATAATGCTCTTGAGGTTTAACCATGTTATAGGATGTATTGGTCATTTCCTTCCAATAGAATACTGGTATTTGCATATACCACTTTTTTTTACCCACTTACCATTTCATGGACATTTGGATTGTTTCCAATTTTTAGCTCTTATGAATAATGCTGCTATGAACAACATGTATAAGTTTTTGTGTGGACATAGGTTTTCATTTGAGTAGATACCTAGGAGTAAAATTGCTAGGCCATTTACCTATTGCTGGTAAACCTATGTTTAATTTTTTAACAAATTGTTAACTGATTTCCCATCTGACAGCACCCTTTTACAGTCCCATCAGTAATGTATTTGGGTTCCAGTTTTTCAACATCCTCAACAACACTTGTTAGTGTCTTTTCTATTATACCATTTCTAATAGGTGTAAAATGGCATCTCATTGTGGTTTTAATTTGTATTTTTCTAATGACTAAGGACCCTTTCATGTGCTGATTAGCCTTTGCCATATTTTCTCTGATGAAGTATCTATCCAAATATTTACTCATTTTTGTTATTGAATTTTAGGAGTTCTTTATATACTCTGGATAAAGTGATTTGCAAATATTTTATCCCAGACTGTAACTTGACTTTTCATTTTCTTTCAATTTTTAAAAAGACTTTATTTATTTATTTTTAGAGAGAGGGGAAGGGAGGGAAAAAGAGAGGAAGAGGAACATCGATGTGTGAGAGATACATTGGCCAGTTACCTCTTGCATGCCCCCAACTGGGGACCTGGCCGGCAATCCAGGCATGTGCCTGACTGGTAATCAAGCCAGTGACCTTTCAGTTCACAGGCTGGCACTCAATCCACTGAGCCACACTAGCCAGGGATGTTTTCTTTTGTCTTTTCATTGTCTTAATGGTGACTTTTAAGCCCCAAAGTGTTTAAGTTTTATAAAGCCCAATCAATTTATCATTTTTTGTTTTATAAAAGTTTTATCATAGTCCTGGCCAGATAGCTCAGTTGGTTAGAGTGTCATCCTGATATGCCAAAGTTGCAGGTTCAATCCTGGTCAGGGCATATACAGGAATCACAATGAATGCATAGATGGGTGAAATAATAAATTGATATTTCGCTTTCTCTCAAAAATTTGTAAGTTCTATCATTGTTTTAGTGTTGTATAAGTTGTATCAGTCAGGGTTCAATCAGAGAAACAGAACCAGTAGACTATCTATCTATCTATCTATCTATCTATCTATCATCTACTTATCTCATTGCAACTGGAGAACATACTTTGTACTATTTCAATCCTTTTAAATGTATTGGAACTTGTTTTATAGCCTAGCATATAGTCTATTTTTTTAAATATTTCTTGCCCTGGCCAGTGTAGCTCAGTTAGAGGGAGCATCATCCCATAAATGGAAAGGATGTGGGTTCGGTTCCTGGTCAGGGTACATGCCTTCATTGCAAGTTCTGTCCCCAATCAGGGTGCATGCAAGAGATAAGCAATTGATGTTTCTCTCCCTCTCTCTCCTTTCCTTACCTTCTGTCTAAAATCAGTAAGCATGTTCTTGGGTAAGGATTCAAATAGTGTTTCTTGTGTGCTTGAAAATATATACTCGGCTATTATTGAGTGGAATATTCTACAGTTGGTTTATACTGTTCTTCTAGTCTTCTGTAAACATCCTATCAGTTTTTAGTCTAGTTATTGTATATGTTATTGAGTGGGACATTGAACTCTCCAACTACTATTGTTGAGTTACTTATTTCTCTAATTCTGTCAGTTTTTGCTTCCTGTATTTTAAGCCTCTGTTGTTAGGTACATATATGTTTATAATTGTGATAGCTTCCTGATGGACTGATATATGTATCAGGAAGTTCAAACTCACAATCCTGGTATATTGGGATGATGCTCAAACTAACTCAGCTACTCATCCAGGGCAAAGGCAGTTTCAGATTTAGAAAAAAAATTAAGAAAATAACACAGAGTTCTACAAATCTCCCCATAGTTTTTACTGTTATTAATAGGTTGAAATGATACACATGATATAATTAACAAATCAATATTGCACATTACTCACTAAAGTCCATAATTTACTTATAATTCCTTATTTTTACCTAATGTCCTTTTCCTGTTTCAGGATCCCATATAAGGTACATGACTACATTTAGTTGTTATGTCTCTTTTGGCTTTTTTGGATGTGACAGTTTCTCAGATTTTTCCTTGTATTTTTTTTTCTTTTAATCATTGTTCAAGTACAGTTTTCTCCCTTTTACTCCCATTCCAGCCCACCCACCCATCCCTCCCCGCTTCCCTCCCATTACCACCCTCCCCTTAGTTTTTGTCCATGTGTCCTTTAAATTTGTTCCTGTAAACCCTTCCCATTCTCCCCTGAAATTCCCTCTTCTCTCCCCTCTGGTCACTGTCAGCCTGTCTTCTATTTCAGTGTCTTTGGTTATATTTTGCTTGTTTCTTTGTTTTGTTGATTAGGTTCCTGTTAAAGATGAGATCATATGGTATTTGTCTTTCACTGCCTGGCTTATTTCACTTAGCATAATGCTTTCCAGTTCCATCCACACTGTTGCAAAGGGTAGGAGCTCCTTCTTTCTTTCTGCTGCATAGAATTCCATTGTGTAAATGTACCATAGTTTTTCGATCCATTCATTTACTGATGGGCATCTAGGTTGTGTCCAGCACTTAGCTATTGTAAATTGTGCTGCTATGAACATTGGGGTGCAAAAGTTCTTTTGTATTGGTGTTTTAGTGTTCTTAGGATATAGTCCCAGCAGTGGAATTGCTGGGTCAAAGGTAGATCCATTTTTAGTTTTCTGAGGAAGTTCCATACTGCTTTCCATAGTGGTTGTACCAGTCTGCAGTCCCACCAACAATGCACTAGGGTCCCCTTTTCTGCACAGCCTTTCCAACACTTGTTGTTTGTTGCTTTGTTTATGATGGCCATTCTGACCAGTCTGAAGTGGTATCTCATTGTGGTTTTAATTTGAACCTCTCTGATAGCTAGCGATATTGAACATCATTTCATGTGTCTTTGGATCCTCTGTATGTCCTCCTTGGGGAAGTGTCTGTTCAAGTCCTTTGCCCATTTTTTTAATTGAGTTGCTTGTTTTCTTAGAGTGGAGTCGTGTAAGTTCTTTATATGTTTTGGATATTAAACCCTTGTCTGAGGCATCATTGGCAAATATGTTTTCCCATACAGTTGGTTCTCTTTTTATTTTGATACTGTTTTCTTTAGCTGTGCAGAAGCTTTTTGTTTTGATGAGGTACCACTTGTTTATTCTTTCCTTTATGTCCCTTGCTCTAGGAGACATGTCAGTAAAATTTCTGCGTGAAATATCTGAGATTTTCCTACCTACGTTCTTCTCTAGGACTTTAATGGTGTCACAGCTTATGTTCAAGTCCTTTAGCCACCTTGAATTTATTTTTGTGTAAGGTTTAAGGTTTTGTGTAAGGTTCATTTTTTTGCACGTAGCTGTCCAGTTCTCCCAACACCATTTGTGAAAAGGCTATTTTTACTCCATTTTATGTTGCTGCCTCCTTTGTCAAATATTAATTGACCATAGAGACTTGGGTTTATTTCTGGGCTCTCTGTTCTGTTCCATTGGTCCATGTGCCTGTTTTTATGCCAGTACCAGGCTGTTTTGATTACAGTGGCCTTGTAGTATAGTTTAGTGTCAGGTATTGTGATCCCTCCTCTTCTCTTTACTCTTTTGTAATCCCTCTATTTTACTCTATTGTGATCCCTCCTCCCCTTTACTCTTCTTTCTCAAAATTGCAACAGCTCTTCGGGGTCGTTTATGATTCCATATAAATTTTTGAAGTGTTTGTTCTATGTCTGTGAAGTAAGCCATTGGTACTTTAATGGGTATTGCATTGAATGTGTAAACTGCTTTGGGTAGTATGGACATTTTGATGATATTAATTCTTCCAATCCATGAACACGGTGTATGTTTCCATTTGTTTGTGTCTTCCTTGATTTCTTTCCTCAGTGTTACGTAGTTTTCTGCATATAAGTCTTTTACCTCTTAGGTTAGGTTTATTCCTAGGTATTTTATTTTTCTTTTGTTATTTCAAATGGGATTTTTTTTTCTTGATTTCTGCTTCTGCTGTTTCATTGTTGGTGTACAGAAATGCCTTTGATTTCTGGATATTGACTTTGTATCCTGCTGTTTTGCCAAATTCATTTATTAGGTCAAGCAGTTTTTTGGTGGAGTCTATAAAATTTTCTACGTACACTATCATGTCATCTGCAAACAGTGACAGTTTTGTTTCCTCCTTTCTGATTTGGATGCTTTTTTTTTTTCTTTTTCTTGTCTGATTGCTGTGGCTAAAACTTCCAATACTATATTGAATGGAAGTGATGAAAGTAGACAGCCTTGTCTTCTTCCTGATCTTAGTGGAAAAGATTTGAATTTTTGCCCATTGAGTATGATGTTGGCTGTAGGTCTCTCATATATGGCCTTTATTATATTGAGGAATGCTCCCACTATTTCCACTTTGCCGAGTGTTTTTATCATAAATCGGTGCTGTACCTTATCAAATGCTTTTTCTGCATCTATTGATATGATCATGTGGTTTTTGTCTTT